GGGGGAGTCCGGCTGGGGGCTGCCCGCAGGGGGGCGTAATCTCTCCCCTGCTGTGGTGTCTAGTGGTCGATGACCTTCTGGCTGAATTAAAAGAAGCAGGATTCCTGGTATATGGCTACGCGGATGACGTGGCCATCATTGCCAGAAGAAATTTCATAACGATCCTCAAGGAAAGGATGGACGCAGCCTTGAGGATAGTTCAAACCTGGTGCAGAAAGAAGGGACTGTCGGTCAATTCATCTAAGACCTCGGCAGTGGTCTTCACCAGGAAATACAAACCCGAACACATAGAGCCACTAAAGCTCTGGGGCAGAGAAATAACTTACACAAGCTCGGTGAAGTATCTTGGAGTGATCCTGGATGCTAAACTGAGCTGGCTGCCAAACCTCGAGGAGAAGAGAAGAAAGTTCTATACCACCATGTGGGCTTGTAGAAGAGTAATGGGTAGAAACTGGGGGCTTCACCCCAGGGCTGCCCTTTGGCTGTATAGGACGGTGTTGCTGCCAAGACTAACCTATGCAGCGGTAGTATGGAGGCCGAGAATGGAGAGGGTGAAGGCCAGGAACCTGTTAAAAAGCCTACAGGGTAGTTATCTGAGGGCTGTGACAGGGACCATGAGAACCACCCCGACGGAGGCGCTGAAAGTAGCTCTCTGCTGCCCATCTCTCGGTCAGCTGATAAAATACCAAGCCAGGAGAACGGCTTATAGACTTAGATGTCAGGGGGAATGGAAAGATACTGGTCTAGGACACACTAGACTGGGACTTTCTCAGAAGTACCCCTTCATGTTAAAACAGGATAGAATTCCAAGAAAACATCAGTTGGAGAAGAAATTTAAAGTTTTAATACCAACTAGGGACGACTGGACAAGTCTAAATTACTAGCTGATCCAAAAGTGGATCTTTGCTTCACAGACGGATTGGGTGTAAATGGTCGGTATGGGGTAGGAATCTATGGGCCGAAAAGAAACCATAGAGAAAGCATACCTTTGGGCTGGCTGGCCACAGTCTTTCAAGCCGAGGTGATGGCCATCCTGAGGTGTGCGGAAACCCTTGCTGTAAACGATAGTGCAAACCAGCACTTTTACATATTCTCTGATAGCAGAGCGGCCATACATGCCCTTGCAAAGACCACTACAGAATCGGCTGTAGTTTGGGACTGCATGCAGGCATTAGCTAGACTAGGGGAATCTAACAAGATAACTCTAGTATGGATCCCAGGACATCAGGGGTTTCTCGGGAACGAGATAGCCGACGAGTTAGCCAAGCTGGGGACCCAAATGGACCCAGCCACGCAGATCGTTGGAGTAGCTTTTGTAACGGGAATCAACATCATCAGAGGATGGCTTGAGCGAGAGCACGTTGGCTCCTGGAGAGCAGTGGGGGGCTGCCGGACAGCTAAACGGCTAATGGAGCAACCATCGGGGAGAGCCAACGAGCTCCTGGCCATAAACAGACTAAGACTGAAGGTGGGATTGTGTCTTCTCACGGGACACATCACACTGAGGAGCCATCTAAACAAACTTGGGCTTACGGAACAAAGTGACTGTCGCCTATGTGGTGAGGAGAGAGAGGACAGCGCTCACATTTTATGTTGGTGTCCTGTACTCACATGTAAAAGGTATAGATCCTGGGGCTGCGTGTTCATGGAGCCTGAGGATCTAAACGGAAAAAGGGTTAGCAGCTTGATTAACTTGGTGTCAGATACTAGGCTGGGTTTATTAGCGCAATCCTAAAAAATAGCAGGAGGTCACAATGGAACTTTTAGATCTAGGTGACGCAAGGGCATCAAAGTGCCCACCTGCTCCACTACTACTACTACTACTAATACATTCGGTGTCTCGGTCGCGGACTTATTTCTATTCTTAAAACTACTCTTATATCTAGACGCAACTTATGGCTAACACGCGGTCTTATACTAACGCGAACTTAGAACTACTCGTGGCACGAGGCGCCTGTCGAAGGCTTCCCCGTGAGCGCTGAACGGTATCGTCGTAGATGCGGCGGGTGCTAGGCGGCGATGCGCGGCGGTTCCGCCGATTTCGGCGCGATCGGTTTAACGACGGTTCGGACGCGGGCGTGACGGAGTCGGCGGCTCGCCTAGGGTGATGGTAGTGGCGGACAAGAAGGTGCACGAAAGGAGCCCAGAGCACAGGGCAGAGACGGTGAGCTTGCCATTTTTATATCCTTCGGATGCTGGTTGGTCTCTACTCGTGGTTGTGGCCTTGAGGACAAATGAGCGCACCTTTCCTCTCGGCCGGGTCTCTAAGCGGCAGGAAGGTCAGGAGCGCTTGACCGGTGAGCGCGCCACCTCTGGTTCCCGTACCTCTCAGAGAACGGATTAGACAGGAGATGATACACCCGGGATGATGAGCGCACTTTCCCGGTCGTAGCAGTCTCAGGATTGCTGGCGTATGCCGGCGAAGAGTTAGGAATAGGCGAACGTACTTGGGAGAGTACGGACGCCTCGGGACTGGTGCCTTATCGTGATCGCTCTCCGCTTATATACCCGCCAACTCGCGTTTTCGGCACGTACGCCGTTCCCCCTCACGAGGGAACACTCGACGGTGTTGCGAGCCGGCGGTGGTTTCGTTTTATTTATTTGGCGCTTTGCGCCTGTTACACGACCCGACGGGTATTCGGTCGGATCGTCGTGACGAACATGAGATATTTCGTCATAAAATATACGGTGTAGATCTTTCCGTGTACAAATGCACGGTGTACATTTTCCTGTATACAAATGAATGGAGTACATTTGCAACATGTCCAAATAAAACTTCTTCCGTGTACAAAATATATTAAGAGGAGAATTTTTGTGTTCAAATGCAACGTGTAAAATTGAACGGTGTACAAATGGTTATGCCTCTTTGAGACGTGTCCGTTTGCAATGTGTCCAATTGAACTATATTAAAATGCACCGCTCCCTATCAAAACGACCGTATGAAATAATAAAAGCTGCGTCTAAGAAAATTGGATATGATAAATTTCCATCATATAAAAAAAATGCTTAAAGGAAAACAAAAATGCTATCTAGAAAATATTAATATTACAGAAAGTTCGGCATCAAATGATTTAAAAAAATTACTGGGTCATACTGTAGTGAGATTGTTTGAAACAATAAACCTATACCATATTTAGGAAAACCTAAATATTGGTATCAACAACAATGAATTAACATTATTTACAAAATGGGGTTGTGATGGGTCATCGGTACAAGTGAGTATAAACAAAATTTTAAATAAGACGGAGAAATATCTGACGGACGCGTGTTCATGATATCGATGGTATCTTTGTTTCTCACTTCAATTTATGATAAAAATATTATTATTTGCAACAATGATCGACCTTCTTCATCAAGGTACTACAGGGCTGTAAAATTTGAAAATATTAAAGAAACTGCGGAAAAAATAAAAAATAAAATGCAACTTATGGATAAGGAAATTTCGAAATTACTTGAAACAGAAATAGAAAAATTCGACATTATATTTAAAATAAAACATGAAACGATATTTACGATATTAGATGGTAAAGTAGCTCAAGCTATGAGAGATATGCTTTCTTCATCTTCATGTTTTATTTACGGTTTCTAGTCATCTGAAATGAAAAACTTAATAGATATGAGACAAAAATTTAACAAAGAAGAAACATTTAAATTAGGGATGTCGCCTTTGCATACACGAATTAAGTTCATGAAGTGCATATTACATATTGCTCATAATCTTCTGTTTAAAAAGTAGTCAAAACTTCGGAAATACGTATGAAGAAGAAGAAACAAAAAAAGAATACAAGAAGCATTTTATAATAAACTTGGATTGAAAGTAGACATTGTTAAACAAGGTTTCGGAACATCTAACGACAGAAATACTTACTAAAGATTTTTTGCTGATTTAAAAGTAATTGGAATTGACGAAGAATTAATTAGAAAATTTTCTACTATATTACAGGTTATCGTTTATTTTCGTTTTTGGGTTAATGCTGTGTCCTTCTTTAATTTGTTTTGATAACACTGATTATGTAATATACTTTAGCCTGACTGCAAGTTGATGTTCTTAAATGGGTTTATTACAAGTTATTAATTGTAGGGACGAAATAAATTTTAGAAAATTTAGTTTATATGCTTATAAGACAGAGGAAATATTTATTGAAAAATATCCGTAGTATTTCATCCCAGTTACAATTCACAAAATTCTCCTCTATGATAAAGAAATTATTGGAAATGCAGCGTTATCTATTAGATATTTATCGGAAGAACTCAAGAAGCAAGAAATACAGATTATATAAAATATTGTTCAAGATTAATTTTATTTCTTTTTTGTTCGTTAATTTATCTCTGTACATTCTTTTCTTAAGGGTACAGTCTCATCAGTGAGGCCGAAAAATAGGCTATTTTCATGATTTTTTTTTGAGGAAAGTAATAAATCTAGACACTCGCGATTTTTCAGGTATATTTATAGTACTTTTAAGTAACTTTTAAAAAATTTTCAATTAATTTTATGATAACTTCGAGGTAGGGCACGTTGCGCCGTAGACCGCTGCGAAATAAAGAACCTCGCTGGCGACTGTCCTACAGGTCATAAGATTCATCTGAAACAAAAAATCGAAAAAGATTCTTGTTTAGTATGAGTGTGGTTAT